TAGAACCTTGAACATAGGACATCATGCATTGGTGGTTGGACATGTGACTCCACTGGCGGGAAACTCAAAGCTTCACCCCCACCTAGTTGTCTGATATGTCGGTCGGCCACCCCCCCACCGAAAGGATAAGAAATTTCCGCTTGTGGTGGGTGCGGGGGCCCTTCCCCCACCTAAAGCGCCCCCACCCCTTCTGTGGACGCCCCATCTATTGTTCGATTCTTCTTTGAGTGAGCAGGTTTTCCGTCATGCTATTTGCAGGTGAAAGGTTAGCCTGCGGATGTTCAAGCAAACACACCGGACAGTATTGCTACTAGACCTGCTAGACCTTCACGTCGATCTTGGGAACCGCAGCAAAACCTCGAGCAGGCTTTCGGGTTGTCGACAACTTGCCCGAAATGAACAGCTGTAGAGTCGTTGACCTTTTCGCCTCAACTCGAAGTCTGCGACTCGACAGCTGCTTCCTCCTAGCAAGTTGTCGACAACATGAAAGCGTGCCAACAATAACAGCTGCTTCCTCCCATCAAGCTGTCGACAACATTGAAAAGTTGCCAGCCCAAAGCTTCCAGGTTCTGCTCCGGTTTTCCAAGAAATCCGGCTCGCTTGCTGTGATCTAGTCTTCGTCCGCGCTGCTCTTGAGTAGCTGCGACTCAAACGGGTGAGCGTTTGAATTGTAGTTTCGGGGGCCTGAGAGGACCGACGGTTGCAACATGTTGCAATCACGGCATTGGCGCTTTCATCAGTTCCTGTATGACACAACTATGCTGGAAACGGGAGTGGAACGGCATTGGGGAGTGGACTGACCGTCGTGGTCCGCCCGCGCCGGCCCGGGCATGAGTCCTGTAGTTTTGGTGCGCGAAGCAGCCGTTTTGGTGCCGTTCTATCGCAAATCGGCTTGTTTTGGTTCGCAAATCGGTTTCCGTGCCAGTGCGGGAATCCGACTGGGCAGTGCGCGAATCCGCCGGCGGCAGTGCGCGAATTCTGGGGTTGCCCCGGTGCTCGAATCCACCCTTTTGGTGCGCAAGTCCGCGTTTTTGGCACCCGAATCGGTTTCCAACCCAGCAGCTACTCTACCAGTCTCTATGGGATTGTCCTTAATTGACAGAGTACATGTATCCTCGTGTAGGATGCATTTCCCTGTAGCTATTTCTCCCCATTCTGGTGGGAAAGAACAATTTTCAATGTAGGCGACGTCTCGCACACTGAGGTCCTGCTTCGACGGCTTGGGGAGGAAGCTAAGGCTGGTGGGTGTCTTGGCCAGCAATGGAAAAGAACATGAAAATAATTGGGCCGTTTAAGCGCACTCCTGATTCTTAGCCTGAGTCTTGTTCAGATCAGCTGGATGATCAGAGAAGTTTGAGTTTAGTCTTTGCGGCAGTGGCAAGACATGGAGTTGATGTTCACCCGTATTAGATTGTATGTAGTGCCGGGGGCTGCCTTCTGCATGACTTGCAGGGAGACTTGAGCCGGAGCATGCAGCTGTGAGAGCCTTCCGATGCTTTCAGTTGGCCTTGAGAGAGCTCGGAGAGCGCTTTTCATGACAGATCGTATTTCGAATTGAGATAAACTTAATCGTAACAAGTAAAGATGTTGGTGCTTATTCTTGCTGCTTACTTTCTGACCCACCACGACCTTCAGCATATCCCTGAGCTCACCACACCTAGGCCGCCTGGCCAGGCTCTGCGAATGAGAATGAGATTTGGTGGTGATATGAAAAGCATTTTTTCACATCTTGACAGGCAAGCGGTGGCTGGAGCCAGCCTCAGTAAGGGGATTTGCCCATGCTTCGGATGCACCGAATGGTCTCACCCAAGGAGCGGGCCGCCACCTGGCACTGGCCCAGCAATGGGTCCCCCACCAGGCGTTATACCTCCAAACATGGGCCCTCCTGGTGGGGGTGGAATGGGTCCTGGCATGGGGCCTGGGCCAGGGCCCATGGGCCCTGGACCCATGGGCATGGGACCTGGAGGGTCAGGGCCTAAGGTTCAAGGTGTCCGTTTAGTTTGCTAGTTCATGCCCACGTTCTGAGGATGGGGATGGGGCAGCAGATGATGCAGAGCACGCAGGTTGCAACTTCAATGCCACCAATGCATGCATCACAGAGTCGCCCATTGCAGAAGGTCCAGTGGCAGAAAGGATCCATGCCACCGGGGTCTGGCACTGGATTCTGGATCGCATCATTGTCAGCATGTGCACAGCATTTGGTGAGGCAGATGCCTTTCGGCAGCGGCCATAGAACAGTTCGAGTGACTGGAGTAATTAGCTCAAAGCAGACTCAGCGAGGCCCTGGCAAGGGAATGCCTGGAAAAGGCATGCCAGGCCGATGATTAGGACTTAAGTTGGGAAATGTATTCCTGGATTCGTGGACCTGTTCATTCTGCCCGGGTGCTAACGTTGTGTGAAGGATGCAGGGAGCTTGTTTTCGTCAGTGGACATTATGAGCCCGCAGTTGCATTCCAAGCATGAAATTCAAGACATGTGACAGGCACTCAGGGTCAGGCTTGCAGTCCGGGGTGGGGACAGGTGTCTGAGAATAACTAAGAAAAATATGGGTCATCAAGTCTGGATGACAGGCTGTGACCAAACATGGCAAGCCACTTTCATCTTTGCTGTGCTGGCAGGCAAAGGAATGCCACCAATGGGCATGGGAAAAGGTGCTAAAGGCTATGGCAAGATGTAGGACTGGATCAGTGCGTGAAACTTATTGATCTGGGCTTCCGTGCTCCGCATTGCTTCGCTTGCAGAGGACTCGCATGCGCTGCCCGCTGAATTTGTGCCAGGCAGGCTTTGGCCAAAGCCTGTCCAAAGCCTGGCTGAGCGCTACAAGTGATAACAAGTGATAATGTCTGGACGCTGGAGACGCGGAGCCCCAGAAGCGGCACTGGTGGCACTGGGCCTTCCGAGCATGGGGCATTTTGGGGTGTGTAATACCTGGCTGCATCTGGCTGAAGGATAACATTGCAAGGGATGTGTGCAGAAGGAACCCCCCACAGGCTCCATACTTGGACAGGGTCCATGCTTGATCGCTTGCACTCGATGAACGTCCAACCACGGTGCCGGCAAGATGCTGCCGGAGCTGGCCGGACGTCCGAAAATGTCCGGTGGGGCCGTGTGATTACCTTTGCTAGACTGCTAGAAGTTAGCACAGAGGCTTTGCAAAACTGCATCCAGCAGTGGGAGGGCTCTTTGAACCTGACAGAAGCTGACTTGCACTTGTAGCCATTTGGCTTTGGAGGCAGTGGCGTTTGGGGTCCCGTTCTCTGCAGTCTGCAGTTTGGGAACGGGAGCTCCCCCAACAACCAGGCATTTGAATAACTTTTTGTGCAGATGCTGCCGCAGCCGGCCTTGTACACATCCACGGCATCAGGCACCCAGTCAATCTGACAGATTGACTTAGATGAGTGTTTGCAGCGGTACATGACTGCTTCAGGCGCTGCATCTCCTGGTTCTCCACACCAGGCCTTCGATCCAAGCCTGGAGCAATTCATACGCCAAGGGTTCCTGGTTCTTCCGCCAGCTGGAAGCCTCCAACTGCATGACACCATCTACTCGAAAGCGTGGGCCATCAATGCCAGGGGTCCCGAAGAGACTTGGAAGCTGGCTGATGCTGCACGGCCGCAAGGTTCAATTTCTCACTCATACAACTACAAAATACTACAAACGTTCTTTCTTTTAAATTGCTTCTAAAACAGGATTTGCAAGCGTTTCATAAAGCACGTCTGTGAGTGTGGGCCTCAAACTGAGGGCGTTTTGGCCGCCATCCCCGAGCTTCAGCAGGTCTTGGAAGTGCCGCACGTGCGCAGTGCGCTCACCAACGTCCTGGGGGAAGGCTACATGCTCCACGGGCACAGGCACCTGCACGTGAGCTCAGCCAACAATCAGATGTGGCACAAGGACTCCTACTGGGGCTTCCGTAAAATCCGGAAGCATCGGCCGCGCTGGCTGATGATGCTTTACTACCCACAGGATACGATTATCGCCATGGGGCCAACGTGTATCATGGCTGGATCTCAGTACCTGGGCGGTATTCTTTTGCCTTGAAATGGTGAGTCCGATGAATTCCTTGCAGCTCTAGGTTATGCTTTGCTCTGCAGAAGGCTATGGGAAGTGAAGCTGCCTGAAAAGTTGATGAAGTCCTTAGACTTATGCGCAGCTTTGACGGTCAATGATGCCCAGGAGGAAAGCATGGAATTTCCTTACCTTTGGGTCGGGACGTATCATGTCGTAGTGAATGTGCATTTTTCGTGTCCCCATTAAACACAGGATCTTCAGGCAGTTTCAGGGATCAGGAGTGAAGGGTTCCCGTAAATTGAGATCATGTGCTTTGAGGTTGCAGATATAGGCTTGCGGGGTTTTGATTCGAGTTTCCTCAGGTATTGGACCAAGAACACGGAGCATACAGAGTGCGGAGAAGACATACTGCTTCCCAACTCCGGCGTGCAGAGCATGTTTCTCCCTCCTGGGAGCCCCTCAACTCAGACACGTGCTCTTCATGAGGCTAAGGCTAAGTATCTGCAGCAGGACACGAGTCTGGTTCAAGACCTGGAACTGACGGTGCCTGCTGGCACATGCGTGCTCATGCACTACGACTTGTTCCATAGAGCCAGCTCTCGCTCGGCTGGAAGCACGGCACCAGAGCGCTTTTTGGTGAAGTTCCAGTTCCTGAGGATAGTAAGCAAGCAACATATACACCGTTAGACATTATCATTCTCACAGGCAGAGCTTTGGGTGGTACATCTGCTGCACCCGCCAGGACGACCGAGCCGTGCCTAGCCTCGGCCGCGTTCCTCCCCATACCCTCGAGCCCGGCACATCCACAGCTTGAGCCGATTCTCGGGGACATCCGCGCCTGGTACTGTGGAATCCAGACCGAGCATTGCAACTCCTTGCTTTCAGAGAGAGCAAAGGATGCGGAGATCCTGTCCTCCGAGGCGTCCGAGGTGGACAAGGTGGCGGCAGCATACCGCCTGGGACGCGTGGGCGCGCGGCAGCTCCTTGCAAGGGCTTTGACGGCCGAGGACGAGGGCACTGCTCGAGCAGCAGCCTACGGCCTCACAGCTTCCGGGCCAAGTGCTACGGCGTCTGTGCTGCCGCTTCTCACGAATGCCTCAAATCGCGTTCGGCGCCACGCCGCCTTTGTGGTGGGCGAGACCGCGAAGCCCGAGGCATCGACCGTCACGGCACTTGGCCAAGCACTCCAGGAAGATTCCAGCAAAGAAGCCACGTGGTTAAATCTTGCCTGCAGTCAGTCATTTCTTAGGAGATGGAAGGCTGTTTGTCACAATCAATGCGTTTCGCGGATCTGCCAACTAGAAGTAAGGCCAAGTGCGAGCTCTTGGAGGCACGTGTGGTGGAGCAGATTTTTTCGGTCTGTCAGATATGTGATCTGATCTGTTGATGATGAGCGTTGCCACGTTACAATTTTGCAAAGGGCCAGGTGTTCCGTTACCACAAGCGTTTTGCCACGTGACACAAAAGGGTGTGTCACTTTTTGAGAGCAAAGCAGATGCAGACAACCTTCCAAAGACTTTCTTGATCTAGTATGTCTCTATCTCACTTGGTGCGGTGGGAATGTTGGGAAAGCTGCCCAGGCAATAGGGTTGCTGGGTGCTCGAGCTCGTTCCCTTGGGCAAGATGAATTGTGCAATTCGTGCATGCAGCATGTGCATGCCTCAGAAGATGCTTATGACACGATGCGTGCAGCCAGTCTCTTCCCCAGACCCTGCACGAAGGTTCTTCCATTTTTGGAGCAATCCGGAGTTACCTGGGCAAAGACTCAAACCGGCGAATGCGTGCTCAAGCCGCAGATATTGAAATCAGTATTGCACTACTTGGAGGCAGAGATACCGCTGAAACGCACTTCTTTCTCAGGCAGCCTATGCCATTTTGCTGACGGCTGGGCTGAGGGGCCAGGTGCCACCGCAGGTCCTTGCCAAGCTGCGTGTCTTCAGAGTGAGCGCTGCCTTAGACATTGCCAACAGCTCCCAAAGATCTCCAAAGCTCATGCCCGATCGTGCCAGCCGAGGCTCGCGACTGTAGCAAATGTCTCGAAGGGTGGTGATCACCTTATGGCAACTTTTGCTGCCGAGGCCAGGAAAGCGTTGCCGCCTCCGAATTCCCCACAGTGCATGATTCGTAAGTTCTCCGAAGGTGCTTCGGCGCAACGGGACCGCGGTATCACAGATTCCATGTTTGCAGTTCGTACTGCCAGGCACCTCCAAGGGTCGTGAGCCTCAGAGCATCAGAATTCTCCACTTTCATGTCAGGAGCTGAGGCTGTTGAGCCACCTGCCAAGCGCCCAAGTCCAAGCTACACGGCCTACAGGGCCGGGCCGAAGCTAGAAGCTCGAATGATCTCATATGGCAAAGGGTGCAGATTGGCTTCCTGCAGGTGCAGCCTCACCAGCCTCACCCCGTCACATCGATGTTGAGGATGTCCAACTTCACTCTGCGCTCCTCTACACCCTTTTTTCCTATCCTTGAGGAGCCCTTTAGAAAAGGCCCAGTGGGCGCGGCCAGAGGTCAAAGAGGTGAAGGTCGCCAGCTACGTGGTCAGGCCCTTCCTCTCGAGCCAATGGCAGCTGCAGTACATGACTTTAAATGACCGTGATAATAAAGCATTGCTATAAGGCATTTTGTGCACACTTGGGTGGGCTCAGCTGCAATGTTTCGATGCATCCTTTCGAGGCGCCCCTCTCCGGACCCTTTTGGGCAAGACTTCAAGGCTGCGAAGCATCCATAACCATCGGTGGGTTGATGGCGAGCCATGGCATTCGGCATCAGGTGAATTGGCCTGCGCCAGAGGTCTTCTTGGAGTTATCAGGTGAGACCTGGCAAACGAGGCAAGAGAATCCTGCCAAGCCGTGAGCATGGCAGACTCCACATTCCCGAGGATGGATACATCATCGTACGTCTCCACTTGAGCTCAGATAGAAGCTGGGCGCAGGGATATGACGCCGGAATGTTCTCACTCTTCACCTGAATGTTCTCATTTCCTTAGAGCTGCGCGAAGAGGCGCAGCGCAGAACTACGCAGGGCACGGGACAATGCCTGAGCTGCGCCAAAACTGAGCCAAGCTGATCAGCTGATGTCATGTGGGTACAAAGCAGGTACAAAGTAGGCACATTGGTATGCATGTCGGGTCTTCTTGCTTATAATCCCGCAAAGAAGTGCTTTCTGCATACCCCGGCGCAGGCCGAGAACTTTGCGGAAGCAAAGAAGCTGAAAGCCGAACAGCAGGACCCCAAAGCTCCTTCCCGCCAAGCCGATGAGCAGTTTTGAAGGCCATTCTAAAGTTCTAAAGGCTTCTCAGGACATGATTTGGAATTTGTGCGAATCGTGGAGCCCTTACGCAGGCCCACAAGGAGAAGTGGATTGTACTGCTTGTGGGGTACCCTACTTGGCTTGCATAGCAATACGGCCATATGGTCATTTTGGACAGTCGTCAGCACAAGGAACCCCAAAGAGGAGACTCTGGAAGAGCAGCTTGGTTTCCCTTTCTGTGGCAGGATCTAGAGCAACATCTGAAGAAGCTCGAGCTGTGACAGAACCGCGCTTCGATCGCCGCTTGTAGGACAGCTCACAAGCTGCTGAGAGTCAGGATTTCTGAAAAGTTTTGTTGTCCAAAGCTTCTGGCATGGTCTCCGTGTCAGCTTTTGGACCAGTGCCAGCAAAGCCGGCCGAATCTCGGGAAGGCCCGAGCAGATACCGCACCCTGCAAGGGAAGATCAAATGGCCTTGCCGAAGCTTCATGACAACATGGTTATTGTGCCCTTCAACTTTTTTTGCTGCCCGAACCTGCCGTGGGAATACGGCGTGCAGGACGCAAGGTCCCCCTGCTTGATTGATAGCAGCGGGGCATGTTGCACTTGACTTTCCACTTGCAGCTTATTTTGGGCTTGGCAGCGGTATTCAAGAAAAGGTAGGGCCGGGCCATGGCTCCCAGATTTTTGTCATGCGGCTTCGCTTTTTGCGCGGCATTGATTTGGAGCGTCGGCCACGCTTCTCCGGACACTTGTTCTGAGGAGGAGCAGCATGTGCTGCTTCAATTCATGAGCAAGAAGCGCAATGATGACGGGGATTGCCTAAACCAGGTATGGGATTGCAATGATGGAGGATTCAGCGCTGAGGCTGCTCTACAAATGATTAGCATCAGGCCAGACAACTCCTGTCAAGGCAGCACAATCTCGCTGTTGAATATTACGAGTGGTGCGTTCAGCCCTGTTTGCCAATTCCCGAACAACTGCTTCAATTCCTGCGGCATCGGATTTGACAACTTCATCTACTGCCGAATTGACAATGGTCTGGGCGATCAGCTTGTCCGCATCTCGTGCCCGGTGGATCCCAGCGGTCCTACGCAGGGGAGTTTCTGCTGGTTGGGCGAGGTGCCTCTCTCAGCGGCAGGTGGCTTCAATCCTCGGCGGATAGGAGGCGTGGAGAGGTTCTACTGGATCACCACTGGCAGCAACGTGGAGGTGCAGTTCTACGAGAACGCGACTTCAAGCGGGAACATTGGTGTTGCGGGCTTGCCGGGATGGAGCAGTGCCGCTTTGGCCCAAGCAAGCAACAACATTGGTCTCGGTAGTGGCATCAACGTGGCTGCCCAACGGAATGCGCTTGGCGCAGCTGGTGACTTGGCGATTCGAGAGATAGAGAACTTTCCAAACAACCAGGATCTTGACTGGGTCATTTCCTGCGACGAGGACAGGGTCCTCCTTCAAAGTGTTGAAGGGACCACAAGCCGTTTCTATGACCTGCAGATGGTGCTCCCGGTGGGTGCGACGTATAGCTTGCCAAGTGGCAACGCGGGAGCCATTTGGGACTTCGATGGGCGCATCTACTGCGCCTACAATAATGGCGATGGTGTGTTTGAAGTCCTCTTGGACCAAATAACCACCAGCAGCGCTCCCGTGGTGTTGGCCTCCCCCGCGAATGCGCTTTCACCAAGTGCACAAAATGATGGCATGAACTGCGTCCGGCAACCTACGCCGTTTCCAACGACCACGACCACAACGACCACCACAACGACTATTCGAGAAGCGTGCTTCAATGATCCATTTTGTCCAACGGATGGCTCTGACCTTGAGCGTCGTGGCCTGACGATGTCAAACGGCCCACAAATCGACCGTCTCAACAATAACAGGTTCTCTTTCTCGCGGATCTGCCAAATGGCCTCAGGCTCACCGGGCTTAGATGCTTGTGGCATCAATGACCAAGACGGCATCATCTGTTGCGTGGTGCAGGGTGACGGCACTCAACAACTCGTGCGGGTGACGTGTGGTGATGGCGCGCGCAGCGACAACATCGTTTCTGGGCTAATTCATGTGTGTATATTATATACAGAATGCTGCTTTTGGAAGTCCAAAGGTAGATGAGCTTCTTAAGCTTGATGTTAGGATGAGAAATTGAACAGCTTCTAGGTCTGCTATCTCGGCGAAGTCCCGGCCGCCAACGGTGCCAGCTTCGTTCCAGGCACCGGCACGTTCGTTGCACGAAGCAACAGTCATTCGGCTTGACTGCAAAATTCATATTTTGTCAAGAAGCTTCTCTCTAATATACTTCCTGAGCAGTGGCAGACTGTGCAAACACAGGTGAAGTCTTCCTCTTTGAAAATGTTGCCAGCCTCAATGCGTCGACACTTCCAGTGGGAACTTCCCTGACGCCGAATAGTACCTTCGGAATGAATGTCCCTGCGGAAGCCGACCTCGTTGTGCAGCCGGCCGATCTCGATGGCAGCGGTTCCCAGCCCTGGATTTTCTCCTGTTACGGAAGAGCGGTCTATGCAAGGCCGCTGGATGGTTCCGGAAGCACAGTAATCCTTAACATGAACGGCCTGAACGTCGACAACAACGAGCAAGCTCGATCCATGTGGGGCTACAATGATGGGAGTGTTTACTGTGCTTACACTACAGA